CCCCCCACGAGCGGCTCTCCAGCACGGCCATGGCCCCAGAAGCACAAGGACTTAATGCAGAACCCAGCAGCTTGGAGCAGAAAAGTGAATGGACTATGCGTTGATCCAGCCCATCAAGTCTGCCGGAGGGGAAAGGGTGTTGCCCCATTCGCCCTCTCCTCTCTGGAAGGAAAGATGGCGGCCACATGGGAGCCTTGTGGACAGCAGGTGTGGGCCGGGAGTGTGGGGGCGACTAAAACCTCATGGGAAGGGGGGCGTTTCGCTCCGCCCTTCACGCCCTACCGAGGCCACCAGTTGCCCCCCACGAGCGGCTCTCCAGCACGGCCACGACTCCAGAACACAGAAACCAATTTCTTAACTATCTGACTTTCAGTAGAAATACTTCCAGGGTCAATAAGTAAAATAGCAGAAATCCAAAACCAACATTTAATTCTTGAACCCAGCTGGAGAAAGCAAATCACTTCACAATGCTTTTTCAGCATGTCTGATTTGGGGGGGGGGTAAACTCTAAATAATAGTGGTGAATCTTTTATTGAAACAATCTAATCAAAGCGGATAGAGTGTTAACTAGAATTCATCTGCCTCACAGGGACGGGGAGGGGTGGGGGGTGGGGTTTTGTTGGGGTTCTTCATGGGAAAGGATGGGTGTTGGTAAGGGGAAATGTGTTTGATATTTGCATGACTGAGACATAAACCTGAAAGCTTTGTAACCTTTCCCACAGTGATTCAATAAATAAATTAAAAAAAAAAAGTTAATGCTGTAACTTTCTTATGGCACGTCTTCTATTCTTTCTTGGACTATAGCTTGTATCTGTATATATATTACTTCCGCTGTTTATAAGGCTGCCTTTGTGTCACTGTCTTCTTAAGAATTATGAAGAGATTGTGGTTGATCTGATCAGAGCATGCAGAAAAATTTTAGGCCAATACACATGCACACACATACTACTATTAGCAGGCACACGTGTAATTTTGCTTAACCGTCTTAAGAAAAAACCTTGGAGAAGTTGGGCCTGAAAATGGAAAAGCTGAGTTCACTTTCACAGATGGCACACCTGTGCTGCATGAGAAAACAGGTTTCAAGTGTATGCAATTCCAAAAAGAATGCGTCTCCCCATCCTGCCGTTGCTTGGCAGAGTCCGAGTTGCAAATTATGTAGTCAGACTCCTGAAGTGACGTCATGGAGGAATTGATTGTAACCTAGTTTCCCCCTTGATTGTCCCATTAGCCATCCGCAGTTCTGTGATTATTTGGAAGCTGTTCCATCCAAATATGGCAACTCTGTTCTTTGTGAGTGTGGGTGATGCCCAGGCTCCAACCAAGTCAGAGGCTTCTCACAGTTGTGCGGTCGGCCGCTAAGCCACACCACTGGGCTCTTCGTTCATTTACGTTGGACTGGAGGATGAAGACTTAACAGAGAGTATCGAAAATCAAGACCCTTAAACTTTTACCTTTTTAAGTAAAATCACTTTGACTTTATTTGGCTAGATGAAAAAGCCAAAATAACTGAAAAAAATTAATAATACTCAGGAAAATGATACACTGAACACCAATTGAGACTGTCTCCAGGGCTTGCAGCACTGTGATGGGGCTATATCCGTGCCAAGGCCCAGAATTTCTTTCCAAGATTCTTTTCCTTCATAGGATTCCCCAATACAAACCAACCAAGTTTCTTGTTCAAACAATCTGTGCCTCCCTAAGAATGACAGGAAGCCCTCTTCGTGGCCCGCGGTTCCATCAGCTGCCTGTCCCACGCGTCTCCCGAAAGCTCCTCAACTTCTTTTGTTTTATTGGCCACATTCGGCTGTGCTCAAGGGTTATTCCCAACTGAACTCTCAGGGATACTCCTCGTGGTGCTCAGGGGGACCCTACGGGGTGCTGGGGATCAAACCCAGGTTGATGGGCTTGCGAGGCAAATGCCCTTCCTCCTGTACTCTATCTCCAGCCCCCAAGACTTAAAACTTTTCTTAGAGAATGTTGAGAATAAAGGCTTTATCAGGTCCTTGGTGATCAGAAAATGATTTTTTTGGTTGGTTTTAAAGGATTTTTAAAATCAAATCCCTGTGAGATAGACCTTTACAAAGCTGTTCATGATTAGATTTCAGGGGCTGGAGCGATAGTACAGCAGGGAGGGTGTTTGCAATGCGCATGGAAGACCGGGGTTCGATTCCCAGCATCCCATATGGTTTCTCCGAGCACTGCCAGGAGTAATTCCTAAGTGAAGAGGCAGGAGTAACCCCTGAGCATTGCCGGTGTGACACAAAAAGCCAAAAAAAAAAGATTAGGTTTCAGTCATACAGTGTTCCAACACCCATCTCTCCAACAGTGTACATTTCCTAGCACCTGTGTCACTAGGTTCCCCCCCAAAATTGCCCCCCCTACCCCGCCCCCAGCCTGTCTCTATGGCAGGCACTTTTTTTTTTTAGTTATGCAGGGACCTACGACTCTGAAGCAGGCCTCAGAGCCCTCCCCTCCCTGGCGGTCAGTCCGGGGTGTGGTAAGATGGGGAGTCCATCTCGCAAGCCACATGGCTGGGCTGAGACATCCTGGTGGAGCACCTCGACGGAGTCGAGATGGAAGGTGCCAGAATCAGCCCTATGGCAGGCACTTTCTCTCTCTCTCTCTCTCTCTCTCTCTCTCTCTCCCTCTCTCTCTCTCCCTCACTCACTCTCTCAATGTTTTTTTGTTTTTTGTCACTGATGTGATAAGATATTGGAGGCTGTCTTCTGGGATAGCCCCATCCTTCTTCCAGCAGATGCCATAACACTCCACATGGTGGAAACTGAGATGGGCTTGCAGAGGGGAAATGCAGAATTGTCAGAGATAGAACAGTGGGTAAGGTGCTTGCCTTGCATGTGTCGGGCAGAGGTTTGATCCTTGGCACCACATACAGTCCCCTGAGCACAGCTAGGGATGCGCCTCCCCTCAAACAAGAGAAAACAAACTCACTTTGTGGTCTAGAGGCATTGTAGATGGCAGGTAGATCACTTGCCTTGAATGCGGCTGACCTGGGTTCTGTTTCCAGCACGCCACACGGGCCCCTGAACCTTGCCAGGAGTAAGCCCTGAACATGACTGAAGAGAGGCCCAAAACAGAAACGGCAGCAACAAATATCCCCAAATCAAAAAAATAGAATCTTTTCACCAACAAATTACACAGAGCAAATGAGCTCTGTGTAATTGGGTCACAATCTTTCAGAAACTATTTTGGAGGATGTTTGCTTAATTTTGGGCCACATCTAGTGATGCTCAGGGCTTACTCCTGACTCTGTACTCAGAGATCACTCTTGGTGGTTCTCAGGGACCCTAGGGGGGGCTAAGGACCAAACCCTATTTGGCTGGGTACAAGGCAAGAGCCCTACCCGAGTACTATGACTCCAGCCCTCTGGTTACGGAGAATGTATCACCACAGCACAACCACAGAATCAGGAGAGTTATGAGACCCCACACTTGTTGTTTTCATCAATTCAGGATTTAGGTGCATTGAAATCCTTTACTTGTGACTTAAAATGGTTCAGATTTTAAATAAACTCCCAAATTGAATTGTTATGGCTGATTGCTAATAACTGTACTTTGACACTGCAGTCACTTAAAGAAATTACTTTGAAAATTGATTTTCCAAACTAGGTGTTAATATAGTTTCATATCTTCCTTAAAACTTCAACACTATACTACAACCATTAAAAAAAATAAAATTGTCTGGTAAGGGAAGGAGAAAGTATTCAGCCATATGGAAATAATAGCATTGTGTCATATTGTCAACTTTCATGTTAGATTTGTCAAATTGAAAAATAATTATGAATAACAAAATAAACACATGTACCAGATACCAGAGTATGCCACGATGTGCCTTTGACACAATGGAAACAATTGCTAATAAAATAAGGTGTTTCATTTGGAAGAGAGAATTTGTTCTTGGCTGTGGATCTCCAAGTTTTCCCATTTAAAAAGTGATCCTCTTGTGGATGAGTTAGATAAGGGAACAAGCGTGTCCAGCTTCTCTGCCTACAATGCAGGCTCAGTCAAGCTTCTTCATGAAGTGAAGCAGGATAAGGACCACCACGTGCATCCTGGTGGGGTACAGAGTGGGGTCGCCAGCAGAGCTCTATTTTCTCCACTTAGCTTTTAGCTTCCATGGAGCAATTTAATAAACTTAAATTACTAGTTTCATTTCACCCCTGATTACTGCTCCTGACCATCTTGATTCTGCTTTTTTGTTGTTGTTGTTTGTTTGTTTTTGTTTTTGTTTTTTGGTTCACCTGGCTATGCTCAGGGGTTACCTCTGGCGGTGCTCAGGCGACATATGGGATGCAGGGGACCGAACCCGGGTCGGCCGCATGCAAGGCAAACACCTTACCCACTGTACTACCTCTCCAGCCCCTTAAGATGCATGTTTTATTCAGATGGTGGGAAAGTTAGCCCCGCAAAAAATTTTCTGATTCCTGTTGATGTCTTTGTTCATATTTTCGATGCATTGTTTCACAGCTGGGCACAGAACCTGTCTCTGAAGAGTTGGTTCCACTCCATTCTCTCTCTCTCTCTCTCTCTCTCTCTCTCTCTCTCTCTCTCTATCTATTAAAAGTAAAGTAAAGGCCCTCCCGTTGATCATCGATTTGCTCGAGCGGGCCCAGTAACGTCTCCATTGGAGACTTTGTTGTTACTGTGTCTGGCATATCGAATACTCTCAGTAGCTTGCCAGGCTCTCCGAGAGGGGCGGAGGAATCGAACTCGGGTCGGCCATGTTTGCCGCTTGTAAGGCGAATGCCCTACCCGCTGTGCTTTTCTCTCTCTCTCTCTCTCTCTCTCTCTCTCTCTCTCTCTAGCCAGAGATTGTAGCAGTGAACTCTGTTTATAGTGAGAATTCCCTGTTGGCCAACTGAAACTGATTTGAAAATCGACCTTATAATCTATTAGTGGCAGAACTAGAGAGTATTATTGGCTTCTAATAAACCATATTTTAGTTTAAGCCTAACACTGTATTTTTAATTTTTTTTTTTGCAGGAAGATTCTTTGGAAACAGATAGTTTCCTTGTGGATTACTTTAATGAATTCCTAAGCCTGCCTGTGAGTATATTATGTTCTATGGACTATATACCAAAGCAAAATATTGTAATCATTGAATTATCTTGTGAGACCAATGCATAAGGATAAATTTAAAACATTAATTAGAACATTTAGGCAAAGTCTGTGTCTATGTATTAACAATTTGGTTTTGAATCAAATTTAGTACTCATGGAGGAAAACTGGCATTTTTCTAACCTTCAAAAGCATTCTTTTGATGCTTTTGTATCCAATTGGTTACAGTTGTATCTGGCACCATTTCAGGCTTTGAACAGATGTGATAAGGATGGGATATGAAAAGATTTAGAACTAAATTTCATGCCTCTGAGCCATTATTGTCATCCTCTTTGGCAGATATTAAAGTAGCACATGTGTAAGTCAATTAAACTTGTGCAGCAAGAATGTGTAAGATGTAAGTGGGCGCCAAAGAATAGATTTTCAATCTGAGCAGTAACTGAAAGTCGGGAAGGGTCTGGGTGGGAAGGAAAGCACTCTCGCATTTGGAGACAGAGTTAAGCAGGGATGTCAGATAAGGGAAAATTAGATAGGAAAAGGGTTCCATTGCTGGGAAAATAGAAAATGTTTCCTCATGAAAAGACTTATGAGGAGAAAATTTGGAATATAAAAAGGTCATATGTGATTTTTAAAGAAGTAGACCATAAAAATTTGGTCTCTCTTGAAAAGGAAGCATTCAGACACACCCTTTGAAGGAAAGGGCTGATATCCTTATCTCTGTAGATGTATCGGCCTGTGCACATGTATTTGTTTCTTGGTATTTTCTGTTTACCAATGGAATCTGTTGCTCTCGCCCCAGCAGGCGAATAGGTGATTGGACAGGGTTCCTACAGGGGGCTTACCTTGTCCAACTCTCAGCTCTGCTTGGCCACTTGTAGGCTACCAAAATGCCCAGAGTATCTTTCCTGTAATCTCTGCATTCTCAAGTATCCCCACCCCAGTACATTTTCGAGTGAAATTTTAACAACAAATATATATATATATATCTGTATTGGGTTTGATTTTAATGTCCCAAGACATTTTAATGTCCCTTAACGCTCCCTGTGGGTGATCCTACAGACCAGTGTTTGCCAAAAAGGTCAGTGCTCACTGGGGTGCAGTTGTGGGGGCCCTCTGTGTTTGTTACCTTAAAGAAGATAGATTTCCTGGAGTGAATTATCTCTCTTCTAAAAAGGGGGCAGTAGACCAAATAACCTTGGGGAATTCCTTTGGGGACTTGAACTTGCTCCAGGAAAGAAATTCCCCTGCTTAAAAATGTTCTTTTTTTCTTTAAATACTATGATTATCACAGAAAGAATGACAGTACAGAAAATGTACCTCAAATGTAGGAAAGATCCAGCCACAGTTCTGCCACCCAAGTAGAATTATGAGTTGCCCTCTCTGTTTTCTCTCGGGAACTCTGTGACTGGTTTTGCCCAAGCTGGTCCACTGACCTGTTTGTGTTTTCATCCCTTCATCCCATCACACTTCACACGCGGGCTGTGACTTCTTTGTTCATCCCCTGCCCCACCAGGCCAGCTTCTCCCAGTTCCATCGCTCCATATCCCTCTGCCTAGATTCCTCCTCTCTCAGCCCCTTTCGATCTCCCAGCATCTGCCCAGACTTTTCATGCCACCAGGAGGAAGGAGAAAAGTGTTTCCAGAGTGAGTTGGGGGATAGGAAAGGTGATGGATGTTGGATTGTCAGATCATGAGAATTTCCTGGCAAATTCTGGACAAAATTAGTCAAGGCTTGGTTTGTGGACTATCTAGAAGTCAGAACCAGTCTGGGGGATCACTCAGAAAAACAATGCCAGGCCACTCTCTTTTCCTTTCCCTTTGTCCTCTCTCTCTCTCTCTCTCTTTCTCTCTCTGGAGAGTCATGAAATGGTATTTTAAGACACTGTAAATTTAGCTCTGTGATTTCAATAAGTAGTAATCATGCTAATGGCAAGAGTCATAAAAAATGATGTCTTGCTACTTCCTGCTGAAACCCTGTCTAGTGGCTTCTCTGTTCAGTCACAACAGAATCCAGAACCCTACAGAGTCTGACTCCTGCCAGGCATCTGTTGACCCTTATTTCCCTACTGTTCTCCCCCTTGCTAATTCTCTTCTATTCCATTGACCTTCTTCACAGAAAGGAATACACTGCAGACAGGAATATACTGCAAATACTCCTGGTCTCTGAACCTTGTACCCCCCCAACCCAGTCTAGTCACTTCTAGAAAAGCCTTTCTCATCCTCGTCAGCCCTGGCTAAAAGCAATCCATCTGCAGGCACTCACTTTGGCCATAACCCTTATCATTAGCTGTGAAATGAGTTTTCAAATATGTGAACAAGTTCACACACCGCAGTCAGTCTGGGGTGACTCTTAATCGCCCACCGCCTTGTGTTCCTACTCTGATGGATGCGTGGCCTCCATCTCACCTTTCCAGCTACCTGCCTGAATATCGCTTGGGGGCCTCACTCCCACCCCCCCCACTTTCCATCTTGTCTCCCCTCCCCTCCCACCCCAAACCCGGCTGCATCAACCACACACTACGTGTGCTTTTCCTGTACTCTGCCATGGTTACCAACAGGAGGGAGACAGAAGTGAGCTCCAGCCCAGCGTCTCCATATGAGGTGCTAGTCACCTCCCCACCAACTCTCGCCTCCCCCCCCCGCCCCCGCCCCACCAGTAACTTCATCCCACCATTCCTCTCCCTGTGAGGTCCATGGGATGCTCTTAAAAGACTCTGGTATGAAGTCAATATGTGAAGATTCTGGCATAGCATTTGCCTTTCTCTTGCTCACCATGCCATCTTCCATCCCCACCGTGTGAGCGCTGCCACCCTATGTCCTATTGACGGGTCAAAGATCATCTTCGGTGTCCTGCAAATCTGTCCTTGGATTTGGCTTGACTTTTAAAATCTATTTTTGCCAGAGACTTGGACAGATCCTCGCATCTGAGCCAGTGTTTTCCGATTTAAAGCCACTGAGCTGGGGATCGACATAGCCTCTCTGGGTCCATCTGACTTCCAAGTTTGTAGATCCACAGTTGGCAACAGAGGAATGCACTGGTCATTGGGATAAAAGTGAAGTGTTATTTTAAAAAGCAATTAGGGTAGTCCCAAACAAGATACAATCAAGTTTATGTATTTTGGGTGAGAGGGTTGGACCACACTAGTGGTGCTCAGGACTTACTCCTGATTCTGTGCACAAGGGTCACTCCTACTGGTGCTCAGGGGCCCATGTGGGGGTTTGGCAATTGAACTGAAGTTGACAGTGTGCATAGCAAGCACTCTCACCTCTGTACTGTCTCTCTGGCTCCAGGTGAATTCATTCTAAAGGTGCTCGGAGGGTAGTTAAGATCAAGAAGGGTATGGATCCTAGAAGGCACTCGGTTCATGTTTTGTAGGGGGCTGGATCAGACTGAGTTGTCAGACCTGCTGGTCCAAAGAGGCGACCCAGGAAGGCCAGACACTTGTTTTGTATGTGGTGAAGGCAGCTACATCCCTAGTTTGATTTTTCTGACACCGTGTATGTCATTCAGAGCACCTTCAGGGGGATTGCTCCTGAACACAGAGTCAGGAAAAACCACTGGGCACCACTGGGTGTGCCCCTCTCCCCAGTTTTTTTCTCTACTAAGCTAGAACCAGGAAAACTTACTTCTCCTATGAACATGCTAGAAGCTGTGTTGGAGGAGGAGGGGTTACACAGTGTGGGTGTTGAGCCTGACTTGGAGGAGGACTCGAGTGTTGGAAGAGCTGAGGGAGGAGGAGGAAGAGAACAGTTGCTGTGAGGTTGGAGGGCCATACCAGGCAGTTTTGGAGGAAATTGATTCTCCTTCACTAGAAAGAGGAAGTTTGAAGTTTTGTGACGAAAGGGATCCAGGTGTAGGTCAGGAAATGGTCTTTCGGGACTATTTTGTGGGGGTTGTATACATTGAGGGATTAGACATTTTCAGTGAAAGGAAATTGGACCAGATCCCTTTTTTCTATTTTGGGGGGTTTTGTTTGTTTGATTCTTGGACCATACCCAGAAGTGCTCAGGGCTTACTCCTGGCCCTACACCGGGGGATCACTTGTGGCAGTGTTCATGAGACAATATGGGTTGCTGGGTATTGAGGTTGAGCTCATGCAAGGCTAGTGCTCTACTCACCTTACTATCCCTCCACCCACCTCCCTGCAATGACCTTCAGTCTCTTAAAGCACCTCAAAAAGCACTTAGGTCCAGGGTGGAGAGGTAATCAAGCAGAGAGGGTGTTTGCCTTGCATGTGGTCTGGGTTTGATCCCTGGCAGCCCATAGGGTCCCCGGAGCCTGTCAAGAGTAATCTCTGAGTGCAGAGCTAGAAGTCATCCTTGAGCACCATCAGGTGTGTGGTTCAGAAAAAAAATGAAGAAAATAAAAAGAACCCCAAGGGTGATTCTCTTTTTTTGTGTGTCTTTCAAACCAATCTCTCTTCTGCCTTACCTTCTTTGTCACCTTTGACCCTTATACCCCAACAATCGAAGGCTGAATGCTCAGACGGATACAGAGCCTACTGGTCCACAAAGGACCCTTAGACCTTCAACTTCTGAGGCTTCATCCACATCTGGAGTGAAGTGCCCATGGACTCTTAACTGGGCTGTGTCAGAAATGGGCCCAAGATTCAAGTCCTCCTGCTTATATTTTCATTACACCCTTCTGCCCGGGGGGCCCTTTGTAAGATGTAGACATTGATGGCTGGTGGCCATGTCTGTGTTTTTTTTTGATGAGGGGAATCCAGGACAGTTGCTGCTATTATAAATGATTACGGCCCTTTCCAAATCCGCGCTTTCATAACTTCATTCCCTTTGTTCTCTTGCCAGGCTCACATTCAGATATTGTTTTCATTTGGTGTCTGGGAGGGTTTTTTTTATTATTTTTTTTTCTGTCAACTCTTTATGGACAAGTGTTTGCTTATTAAGTTTTCTTCTGTACTATAGTGTGAAAACATTTTTCCCCCTCCTTTTGGTCTTGTTTGGTGTGTTTTATGCTCAGTGACTGTT